ATATAATTAAAAATAAATGTATATATAATTAAAAAAATTGTATGTATATATATATGTGTGTGTATATATATATATGTATGTATATATATATATATATATATATATAATTACAAAAATGTTTTATTATGTTTTATATATATATATAATTATATATATAATAAATTAATTAAAATTTAATTTATATATATATTTATTTATATATATATATATAATTAATTAAAATTATTTAATTGTAATAATTAAAAAATGATTACAAGAGTAATAAGTGTACAGACAATTACCACCAAATATCACAATCAAATGTTCAGATTCATTGTCAATGTTGAAAGTAAATATTTACAATTAAACAGTATAAATATTAATAATAATATTAGATAAAACAAACAAATTAAATTACTACGAAATAAATTAAAAAGGGAAGCAGAGTGCATCTATTAACTGGAGGGCAATACCTAGAGTTAAAGTAAGTTATAAAACAATGCCACTTTTTAAAGAAATGAGTTTTCCCAGAGCATCTAACCTTTGCCAACTTAAGAAAATGCATGGTATCTACAAGCCATTGGGATGTAGTTGGAGGCTTATTTGATTTCCAGTGAAGTAGTATACGAGATTGTTGCTGGTTTTCCCTGTTGGGAAGAGGTCAAATTTATACTTTCTTACTGTTGATCATCAATTAGCAGCATTAACCCTTTAAATGGGCCTGTGCAAAAACATTTCTAGCTTTTATATGGAGTTTGATGAAGTAAAACAGCAGATTATATTGTGTGTGGGTGCAGAAATACACTCACTGTGTTTACTATGCTCTGAGAGTTGAGCTGCTTATTTGGATTTTCTCAGACAAATCAAAGTAAATAGCAAAGATCTCAAACACAAACAGACACACACACACTAGACTCTATATAACTCCATATTAAAGTCAGAAACTAAGCTTCTTTTGCACTACAACTGATGATCAACAGTAAAAATGACACGTTTGACCTCTTTCCAACAGGGAAAACCAGCAACAATGAAGAATGCATGATTATGTGCTGTCATGGCTTTGCGGTCAAAAAATGTGATTATAATGGAATCAATGGGACAAAAACAGCCACCAACATAACCAAAAGTGGTATATTATTTATTTAAAAGTTATTTGTGTGGTAAATATAAAGTAATGAACTTAATCACACATAGTCTGATGTGACTTCTCTGCGCGTCAGTAGTAATCTTATGATGTGTTGTGCAGTTGGAGATCCTGGAGGAGCACAGGAACAGAGTGCGCTCACAGAAAGCGTTCAGCATCCAGTGCTGTTGGCGAAGGCACCAACAACGCCAGCGTTTCCTCCGGACACAGGCAGCCACATGTATACAAGCAGGTTAGCATTTAGTATTTGTGATCATGGAGCACAACTTTTGCTGCACTGGTACAGCGAGGAAATACGTATTGAACACGTCACCATTTATTTCAGAATACATATTTCTAAAGGTGCTGTTGACTTGAAATTTTTCCCAGATGTTGGCAACAACTAAAGAAATCCATAAATGCAAAGAAAACAAAACTAATTAGTTTACAAATGAAGTTATGCATAATACAATGAAATGACACAGGGAAAAAGTATTGAACACATGAAGAAAGGGAGGTGTAGAAAGGCAGTGAAAGCCCAGACAGCAGCTGAAATCTCTCAGTAGTTCTTTAGCAGTAATCTGCTCTTATTCAGTGTAAATTAATTAATTATAGATTTTTTTTTTATACCAAAAATGATTCGAACATTAAGGCCCTGTTCACACGAACATGGGTATTTTCTAAACCACACTTTTTTCTATGCGGTTTCGCTGTTTGTCAGTATCTGGTGACTGAAACTCCAGCCAGAGTGAAGATTTTCCATAACAATAAGTATAGTGTATTCATGTGGACATTACAGATTACAGTTTTCACCTTATGATGTCATCGTGCATGCTGTTTTCTCCTTTTCTGATTGGCCAACACGGCTGGATTCACACCAAAAGCTGAAGATGCAAAGGAGGCAAAATTCTGCACATTTACGGCAAACACATCATGTATTTCATGTAATTCGTCTGCGAGACTGTAATCCGCCTTTGTTCTCACGTTTGCATTGACTTGTATGCAATTTACTTAGTTTCCAGTTTGGTGTGAACCCAGCATAAAAATCCAGCATAAAAATGTCATTATCGCCGCCTGTTGGTTCGGAGTAGAGCTTAGATTGAGGCCCAAAAATTAAACCCTACCCGAACCCGTGCATCTCGTGTCCGAGCCCAACCCGGTCCAACACATTAACTGTAATTATGAGCCCGATTTTTTTTTATTTTTTTTTTTATTAAGCCTCTTCAGCTGCTCCAGAACGCAACAGCACGAGTGGTCTTTAATGAACCTAAAAGAGCACATGTCACTCTGCTGCTCATCCGTTTGCACTGGCTGCCAGTTGCTGCTCGCATCAAATTCAAAGCTCTGATGTTTGCTTACAAAGCGACCTCTGGCTTTGCTCCTTCTTATCTGCTCTCACTTCTGCAGATTTATTTACCCTCCAGAAACTTGTGTTCTGTGAATGAACGTCGCCTCGTGGTTCCATCCCAAAGAGGGAAGAAATCATTTTCCCGAACGCTCACGCTCAATCTGCCCAGTTGGTGGAATGAACTCCCTAACTGCATCAGAACGGCAGAGTCACTCGCTGTCTTCAAGAAACGACTAAAAACTCAACTATTTAGTTTCCACTTCCCTTACTAATCTGCAATTGCCTCTCTGGCTATATCACTAACTGTACTCAAAAAAAAAATAAAATTACTAATGCTCTCCTTCTTAGATTTTACAGACCTGAAACTTGCCTACAGCACTTATTCATTGTTGCTCTTATAGTTGTGTAAGTTGCTTCCTTGTCCTCATTTGTAAGTCACTTTGGATAAAAGCATCTGCTAAATGACTAAATGTAAATGTAAATTTTATGTTTATTGTGAACATTCAATTGAATACAATCATAGAGCATTTCAAGGTACATTGGTATCTCAATATGTGCCCTTAAGTGGTGTAAAGATTACGTACATTGTCAGGTGTACTTACTACACAGTAGTATTTAAATTTTGTCAATTATAAAATGAACAGCAGTGTAAAGAGAATTTTTGTTTTTTGAAATAAATAAATAAAATAATAATAAAAAAAAAATAATAAAAATAAATAAAATAAAATAATAATTAAAAAAATTTAAATTAAAGCACTATTTACATCCAGGGTAAGAACGCTTGTCATAATATAATTCCTTCCAGAATAATCTTAACTGACCATCTTCATCATACACATGAGGATATCACGCATTACAATATAAGTATAACTATATATATATGTACATACATTAGCATATATTTATCTATCAGATCATAATCTTCTATGCATTTATAGCAACAAAGTCACGTCTTCTAACTAAAATATATTCAACCCATTTCCTCCATTTTCTCAGGAATAAATCCTTCTTTAAATTGACGACAAAAGTGATGTTTTCCATTGTGTAGATTTCAATAGTTACATCTATCCAATTACTAAGGGTTGGTCGATCTTGCTGTAGCCATTTGCGAGTGATTGCTTTTTTGCTGGCAGCCATAAAGTATTTATTTTCTGCCGTTACGGTATCTGGATTCACACAGTTAAAATATAATAACTTACTTTCTGGAGGTATATCTATTTCAAATATATGTTTGAGAGCCTCCTGTATTTCTTTCCAATATTTCTGAATATACATGCATTCCCAAAATATATGATAATGGTTTGCTTTGTTGCATCTGCAGTTATGCCAGCAATTTGGGGTCTTATTTGTATATTTGGCTATTAGTGCTGGTGTTTTGAAATATCTAATAATGTTTTTGCAACAGTTTTCTTTCCAGTTTAATGAACTTGCTGATTTTCATTGAAATTCCCATACATTTGTCCACTCCTCATCAGTAAAGGTTGTTCCACTTTCCGTCTCCCATTTTTCTTTTATATAACTCGTGGAGTGTGTTTTCATACTTCTCAGACTCTTATAAATCAGAGAGACTATTTTGTACTTTACACCTGATGTGTGTGCTTTTAATTAGATCTATCAATGGATTCTGGTTATCTTCAAGTTTTCCTTTTATTTTCTGATCATAAAAGTTTCTATAAAAATCTTGATTTTCAAGTAGAAAATTGTTAAACGGACTATGTTTTAATACGTGGGCAGTTATGACAGCCGTTCTCAAATACAATTCTGAGTTGTTTAAACTACAGGAATTAGTTTAGAGCAGGGGTCACCAACCTTTATGAAACTGAGAGCTACTTCTTGGGTACAGATTAATGTGGAGGGCTACCAGTTTAATAAACACTTTTCAAATAACAAATTTGCTCAATTTACTTTTAATTATACTTTATGTTTTTGGTAATAATTAATGATATTTATCCATGTGAAGACACTGATCATGTTAATGATTTTCACAAAAGTGATCAACAATGATTTAACAGGGTAGGAAATAACCTGTATTTAATGTATCAATGTGCAGCACTTTATTTTTATATATCTCTGCAAATATTTACATTATTAAATGATTACTTCTATATTAGATGAAGCTTACTGGTAAGTGGCGCTATGGTGAGCTTTTTTAGAACAGGCCTGCGGGCAACACATGTGATCCTCGCTGGCTACCTGGGCACCATGTTGGTGACCCCTGGTTTAGATTGATCTTACCTCACTCTCTGGGTTATGCTTGAAGAAGTGACAAAAGAGGACATCGAAGGCTGACTATCATCCTTTCTGTACCGGCCAACCCACGCGTTTTTTTTTTTACTGTGGTATCCCGCTCTTGTCCCGTTCAAGCATTTCCCGTATCTTTCTATCAAAAGTGAAAGTAGCATCAAAGAGCTGGTCTTAAATGTGTTAAGAGCTGTTCAAGATAATTATGCTTTGGCTTCGTTTTGGCCTGAAACCAAGTTGAATTGAATATAAAAACAGCCCCATTCACTATGCAATCTCTGAATTAGTCAATTCATGTAACGCTCGTTTCACACTACATGCTCAGGAAGTTGCTGCGAGCCTTGGTGCAGAAGAAAAGTAAACATTAAGTATATTCATATCATCTCGCTCTCACATTACTCCTGTACTTCAGCAGTTACACTGGTTGCCTGTTAAGTCACGCATCGATTTTAAAACCTTGATTTTAACATACAAAGCTGTTCATGGTTCTGCACCTGATTATATATGTGACCTGATATCGACCTCCTCTTCCTCTCGCAATCTACGTTCTGCTTCGGGGATCACCTTGTATCAGCCCCGTGGCAAACTCAGCAGCATGGGAGGCAGGGCATTCTCTTATCGTGCACCTAAATTGTGGAATGCTCTCCCCACAAACATCAGAAACGCCAGTTCCCTGGACTGATTTAAGACACTTCTTAAAACTCATCTTTTTATTATTGCTTATAACTTATGAGGGCTTTTTTAATATATGTATATTTATCATCATTATCATTCTTACTTGTTTGTGTTTTTCATGTTCTTCTGTGTGTTGATGCTCTTGTTAGCGCTTTGAGTTAGAGAAAAGTGCAATATAAATAAAAGGTATTGTTATTATTATTATTATTATCATTATCATTATTTATTCATTCATTCATTTTCTCGTTGGCTTAGTCCCTTTATTAATCCGGGGTCGCCACAGTGGAATGAACCGCCAACTTATCCAGCAAGTCTTTTACGCAGCGGATGCCCTTCCAGCCGCAACCCATCTCTGGGAAACATCCACACAAACATTCACACACACACTCATACACTACGGACAATTTAGCTTACCCAATTCACCTGTACCACATGTCTTTGGACTGTGGGGGAAACCGGAGCACCCGGAGGAAACCCACGCGAACGCAGGGAGAACATGCAAACTCCACACAGAAACGCCAACTGAGCCGAGGATCGAACCAGCGACCTTCTTGCTGTGAGGCGAACGTGCTACCCACTGCGCCACTGTGTCGCCTCATTATTTATGAGACAAACGTCTGCGTGCTACCTCTGCTCTCTGGCCCGGCCCGAAGATAGTGGCAGGAAATATTGGCCTGTCAAGTCTGGGCTCGGGCAGAGAGTCTATACTCTAATTCGGCATGCCCTAATATGCATCACAGTGCATTTTTGGGCTTTTATGTGGACCAGGATTTAAAAAAAAAAAAACGAAAGCGGGGAAAACCCTGTTTACAAAATACTTGTGTATGTGTGGTTTTGTTGTCCACAATGTCCAGGGTCACATTGTTATTTTGGGATTACAGGTAGAGTGGTTGTGTAACCGATGCTGCTGCCTCAGTCTTGTCTGCCAGTACTGTTGAGTTCTCTCCAACAACTACTTGGCTAACGGAGCAGAAATCTGTCTAGACACTAAACCCAGATCTCTGACCTTCCTCCTGATTATCCCTTAAACCCTATACAGAGCAGATGAAGCACACCCGAGCCAAACACTTGCTTTATTGAGATCTAAAAAGCCAAAAGACAACCCCGTCATGCTCCAGTTAAATTCAATCTCTTTCTGTGTCTCTTTATTACAGGTGTGAGATCCTGGAGGGTCAGAAGAGAGATTAAGAAGTGGCATAAAGCTGTATCAGTCATCCAAACCAAGTGGAGGCGCTGGAGAGTAAGTGTTCTGCTGGATTTCATTTTTATTAAATATAATAATGTCATCATTTACTTATCTTTCATTTGTTTCAAACCTGTTTCTTCAAGTCATGTAATTTTGTTCTAGGAGATCATGTGATGATAAAAACGTGTGTGAATGGATAAACCAGCAGGCTGAGCACACTGTAAAACGTCTGAAATGTTGTTTTGGTCATTCCAAAAATGCCTTGACCGTTTCAGTATTAGTGTTATTATTTTATTAATGACCTCCTGAATTGTCAAGAGTGCCTGTGCTCCCAGTCTCACACCTTCAAACACCAACACACGTTCATTGTATGTCGGCATTGTCTTCTAAGGCGCAAGTCATTTATTAAATGAGGAAAGGATTCACGCAGCTTCTCCGACCGCAGCAAATTCAGTTTTTACTGTTGATATTTGGCGCCAGATAATCAGGAAGTGATAGTTTTGTTCACTTTAGCTGCGTCCCACACTCTGCACTCATGCACTATACACTCGCACACTCAACTGCAGAGTATATGTATGTAGTGACGTTTGTAAACGAATGACGTTTGATGGTTGCCTAATTGAATAAATAAATGACTAAAGTAGAGATCTGCGTGGGACTAAATTTTGAATCCCGCTCCCGCCCGCACCTGCCAGGTTTTAGCCTGAGCCCGACCGCTCCCGCTTATTAAGCATTTGTTGTCCCGCTGGGTGGAGAACAAAACGAAAATCACCCAGCTATACAGTCCAGACAGCCTATAACAAGCTGTCTGTATAAACACAAACACACACAGACAAAGCTCTCTCTCTCTTATTCGTGCGCGCGCGGGCACTAACACACACACACATAAGCACCAAGCACACAGACAGGCAAAGCTCTCTCTCTCTCTCTCTCTCTCTCTCTCTCTCTCTCTCTCTCTCTCTCTCTCTCTCTCTCTCTCTCTCTCTCTCTCTCTCTCTCTCTCTCTCTCTCTCTCTCTCTCTCTCTCTCTCTCTCTCTCTCTCTCTCTCTCTCTCTCATTCCCGTGCACACGCAATAACACACACACACACACACATAAGCACCAAGCACACACACAGGCAAAGCTCTTTCTCAAACAAGCTAAACACAGAATCGCGCTATTTCATTTACACACATACATACGCATGCTCGCTCGGGAGTCGGGAGCGATATTGCTAGACAGCCCGCTCCCGTCCCAAGTTAAACCCGTTACCGACCGTTACAGCGATTTATTCGGAAATTTATTCCTGCGCCACAGAAATCTGGTCGAGTCCCGCGGCGCCTGCGGGACAGCTGCAGGAATGCAGACCTCTAGACCAAAGTACCAAATAATACATGCCGTGAGTATAACCGCATTACCATCGGGAGGCGCTATAATCACTCTCGTAGGCGAATGTAGCTTTCACCATCCAAAATAAATCAAGTAATCCAACATGTGCGCCTGATAGCTCCGCCCCTTCCGCTACGTGAGCAAACCTGTGGTCGTTGAGTGCGTGAAGTGTCCCTCATTACACACTTCATTTTACCGGCTGAATGAGTGCATCATCCGGGTAATTAAAGTGAGTTTTCAGTGTGAACGCACTACCTACACTATTTATACTACAAAATGGCTTAGAATAGTGCTTAAGTATGCGATTTGGGACGCACCTTTTGACTCATTGGATGGAAACACTGCTTTATTTCTAAATGTTTTATGCAACATTCCAGTTTTGCACTTAAATTTAATTTGCATCTTCGGATGGAAACATTGCTATTGACATCTATAGTATTTATTCCATAAACTATTGAAGTCAATGGTTACCAGTTTATGCATAACATTCTGCAAAATATCTTCTTTTGTGTTCAACAGAAGAAAGAAACTCCATAAAGAGTAACTGATGAGTGATTTTACATTTATGGTTGCACTGTGTGATGAGCCAGAGGCTCGAACCCAGGTTTCTGGTGTGGTAGACCGATGTTCTAACTTTTACCGGCCCAAAATGCCAAGACTCAAGGTCTAGTTTAAAAAAAGGGGGTTTATTTAGAAAGTCCAACAAAATCATTAATATAGCATGGCAAAAATAGAGAGTCCACAAGAAATGAATACATAATAAACCTCTTTAACATTATTAATAGGCTACTGAGTGACTGCTATTGTTCTTTTGTTTTGACCATTCATTATCTTAAAACACAATTGAATCTATATTTGGTAGATGTTACTTCCCGACCAGTCTAGGGTTGGCTGTAACAATAACAAAAAATATATATATAAATTAAACTTTGAAATAATAAATGTAGGGTTTTCCCCTTCTGCTGTCCCAGCCCACAATGATCCCAACCAATTTATCAAAAATAACAAGGCTTCTTATTCTTTTAAACAATAAAGATCTCTGAAGCATCTCTTCGGAATGGACTCCAGGCCAAAATGACAAACAAAAAGACCGCTAACTTACTGGGAAATAATCCTAACTTACCTGCCAAAATAAAGTACCCCAAATAAAATAACAACAAACTTCCCCTTCTCCTTCGCTGCCACAAACCAAGAGAAAACGTTTTTAAAGTAAACGGCAATTGCCAACCTAAAGCTTCAATTATCCAAAAATAATATATAGTTTTAATGTAATAAGTGAAAACAAAGCACAAAGGCTCAGATTAAATACGGTGAGCAGGTAGTAAAGACATAAAGACTTGACAGCTAACGAAATAAGTCAATTACACTACCACACTAATGCATCAAATAATCTGGGGCAGGAGATAGGAGAAGCTCGAAACAACAACTGCAGCAGATTTGCGACCTGCAGAAGATCCCTCCTTTGTTCCTCTCCTCCGCTTGTATACGCTCCCACTCGCAACACAGCTGGACCCCAATTAAGCGCAGCTAGAGAGAGAGAGAGACCTGCATATGCTCCACAGCACGCAACACAACATCAGCTCCAGATGCATAAACAAAAGGCAAATCTGTAAAAATACCTAAAATAAATGAGCTATAAATTACTACTAGGGGTGTAGCGATTTATCGTTGTACGATTTATTGTGATGATAAAAATGTCACAATATGCATCGTGGCGTTATGAAGATTTGATTACGATATGACGTCCTTTTTCTCTTATTAGTTGAGCTGTTTGCACGTGAGCTACGTTCCACCTGCTGTCGCACGTGAGTTCAGATTGCAGCAGCAGTAATGTTAGCAGACCAAGATGAGTGGAGCTGAAATAGAGGATGGCCCATCCTCTCAAAATCAAACGTCTGGCAACATTTCGGTTGTACAGTCATTGCTTTAGACTCGTCCGCTTTTTGACACGCATACTGGGTCAAACATAGCCGAAGTTTTAAAGTCTTCACAGTGATTTACATACTTTGCACAGCGACATGGAGACCTCCTAATGGTGTTGAAAGAGTCACATACTGTATTTATAAGGTACAATTCACCCTAAAATATCATTCTGTCTTCATATAATGATGTGAGCTAACCGTGAGTTGTTACTACAGAGGGCGCGTCTGCTTCAGTGAACAGAACCTGCAGGTTGTGACTAACAGGTAATAAAGTAGTAAACAACATTCAGTTTGTGGAACAGAGTGATCGTTCAGGAGCCGCGTGGGAAGTATGAACAGCAGTGGAAATGAAACCGAAAGCGTGCACATTATTTAAACAATCATATCGCATTTTAGAGTTATGATTACGACGAGCATGAACTCTTATGAGTACAGAGGTACACAAAAATGCATGTCAACATGATACACTTGATAGCGCCGACATCAGCGACGCCGAAGAAATAGTAAACCTGCCTAAACTGCTGAAAAGAGCCACGACTGTCCTGTGTAATGAAAAGACGGCCACCCTGTCACTCATCATGCCCAACATGAAGACAGCCATCCATAAAAACCTCTCAGACAGACACACATCAGTTCAGGATTATTTTATAGAACTGCTGATTACCTGGAAATGTAGATTGCACACACAAAAAACGCAAGTGACCAAGCAAAGCCTTAAGCTCTTACTGTTAAATTCAATTGAATTGAATCATTTCAATAATATTTTATAAGAAGTTTTTAAATGGTTTTATTTTCCAGAGACAGTCCTGTTTAATTTATTTTCTTAAAGAAGGTTCAGTTTAACAAGTTGAAACAAAAGAAAAAAGAAAAACAAAAAATAGTTTAGTTGGTAATTAAAATTTTTTAAATAAAATTTGCATTTCAGTTTCATTTTCAATTTTTATTCCCAATATCGTGATACATATCGAATCGTGAACATTATATCGTGATACACACCGTATCGTGAGCTGAGTGTATCGTTACACCCCTAATTACTACATTCTGAAATGTAACATGTCAGATTAAATTGGCGGTTAGCGCTGTTGCCTCATTGCAAAAAGGTCTCTGGTTCAAGTTCCGGCTGTTAGTTGGCATTTCTGTGTGGAGTTTGCATGTTCTTCCCATGTTGTCATGGGTTTCCTCCGTGTGCTCTGGTTTTCCCCACAGTCCAAACACATGCGCTATAGGAGAATTAAATAAACTAAATTGGGCAAGAAGGGCTGCGTAAAACATATGCCGGAATAGTTGGCAGTTCATTCCACTGTGAGACTGACCCGAAGAAAAATAAATCTCAAATTAAAGCCAAAACAATAAAGAATACAAATGAAATGTTCCTTTGTTGATCATCATTTGCGTTTTACTGCGCTCCTCAGGCGTGGATGGATGCGCTAGCGGAGGCAGAGCTGGACGATGCAGAGGATTTAGTAGAAGAAGAAGCCGAAGCATCATTGATGCCGAATCTGCTGAAAGAGCGAGGCTCGGTCCAGCTGTGCAGCGTCCCGGAGCCGGTGCCGGTCAGAGGATGGCCTGTCGGTCTGGCCATGGCCTCCGCACCCTCTATCACTGTGTCTCTGACCGCCTCGGGCTTCCAGCGGATCATGTCCATCATGACCTGCATCAACATCCCGTTCAGACACGGCCAGTATAAAGTGAAAACCAACCAGTTTGACCAGGGGGTGGCGTCTATCCGAGCTCAGCCACGGGTAAGAGATCTGTCACAAAACACAGTTGTGTGGAATCAACCCAGAGTAAAACACATGATGGCGATTACGACATTTGACTATGATTATTAGAAGGAAAAAATGTCAAACATACTAAAAAAACAGTGTCTATTCGAGCCAATAGTATCTGGATGCAAGCTGAGATTGCATCACTCAGCGATGTAATGTCAGACACAATGCACTTAATAGAGTGAGCGACGTCACTGTGAGGGGTAGGGTTAGGGGTGGGGTTAGATGAGTGCATTAAAAGGCATTGGATGCAGCTCAATGCCTCCTCAACAGCTAATCAAGCTTACTCAAGTTTGTTTAAATTAGCTAAAAAGCTGTTGTTTGAATAGTTTTAGGAGATTCTATAATTCAGTTTGTTTTTCCAGGGCTCCATTAAGATGCATCTTCAGAGATCTCCACTGCTGTACGCGGACATGCATCCAGCGCACAAGACTGAAGTGGTGACCGGATTCAACCAGATCCTGCTGGAGAGAGACTGACTCGAGCTTTAATGCAAGCAATGCACCTTTGAAAAGCACTACACTACACATTATATAGCTGCCTTATTTATAGTGCAATTCTGTATTAGTTCTGTTGCGTTTACTCGCTCAGGTTTCAGCTTAAAGTGCCTTTTATTTCCGCTGCGTTCAGTCGGAATATACTGTAGAGCGTTTTATTATTATTACTTTAAAATACTGAGCTTCCATTTTATACAAATACATCTGTAAATTAGCTTTTTTTTCTGTGTTTTGTGATTCATGTTTTTACTTTTCCCATTTATTTATGCTTTTGAATTGCATTATTGGAGCTTGGAAACAACTTTTAACATTGAAAAGCTTAAAAAAGTGACTTTTATTTTAATTTTTAATAGTTTAAAGTGATATATTGCCTGGGTTGGTGTTGTATATTACACCTCAAACACTTTGTAATAAACTGCAGCACATTTTCTGTTATTTGACAGACTTATTTCTGTAGATATTTTTTTTTTATACGTGATATTATTACCACTAACGTGTCAATAAAGTCGCTTTGTTAAACTGTAGAGTTGAATTTACGACATCTAAAGTCGACAGAACAGAGATCAACATCCCATCAGCCGTAAATAAACAGTGAATCACAAAATACAGACTGTTTTACAGTGTAGCGTGACTTTAATGCTTATTGCGAAGCTTGAAAGTGATATTGCTGCTGAGATATCCCAAAACTGGGTATTGATATTGAATATACTATTCAGTAATATACAAACTAATAAAATCACAGACTTTATACTATAATAAGTTATAATGAGAAGTGAGGGAAATAATGGATTATTAGGTAGTGATTGAATATTTTGGATGCTTTTTTACTCTAATAATTGCACAGTGATGAAACACTCTAGGTGTACTGGGGAAAGCACTGGTTTCTGCATTGCCATTGAGGCTCTTACCAAAGCGAACTGGATTAATGTACTGTTGCCATGTAGATATTGGTTTTTGCCAGATCTCTCTTTGCTGTTTAACAGCATAATGTACTCTGTAGATGCCAAGTTTGAGCACAAAGCTCAACATTTCTCCCTAAGTCAACACACTATATGGTAAAATACTGGGGAAATGCACTGGTTTCTGCATTGCCATTGAGGCTCTTACCAAAGCAAGCTGGATTAATGTACTGTTGCCATGTTTATCTGTAGCTATTCAGTTTTGCCAGATCTCTCTTTGCTGTTTAGGAGCAAAATGTACTCTGTAGATGCCAAATTTAAGCACAAAGCACAACATTTCTCACTAAGTCAACACACAATATGGTAAAATACTGGGGAAATGCACTGGTTTTTGCATTGTCGTTGAGGCTCCTACCAAAGCAAGCTGGATTAATGTACTGTTGCCATGTTTATCTGTAGATATTCAGTTTTGCCAAGTCGTTCTTTGCCGTTTAAAAGCTAAATGTACTCTGTAGATGCCAAGTTTAAGCACAAAGCTCAACGTTTCCCCCTAAATCTACACACTACAGGATGATTTTTGGTTATGAAACATTTATTTGCATGTGCACTATATGTATATTTAATTTTTGTTCTTCTTAAAGAGGCTATTTAAATGGTTTAATGGGTGGGGGAACACTTTTTAATCATAATAGTTTTAATAACTCATCTCTAATAACTGATTTCTTTTATCTTTATCATGATGACTGCACATATTTGACTAGATATTCTTCAAGATACTAGTATTTAGCTTAAAGTGACATTTAAAAGCTTAACTAGGTTAATTAGGTTAACTAGGCAAGTCATTAGACAACAGTGGTTTGTTCTGAAGCCGGTCAAAATATGATAAAGGGTCTAATAATATTGCCAAAGCAGTTTTTTTTTTAGCCCTTGTGCACTGTTCAAATGTACCACCCTTTTGTTCTGTTCGGGATGAAAACATCCACTAAATTAAACTGAAGTAAAATGCATCAGGTTAATATTTTTTAATCTTGTTAATCGACCTCAGTCCTGATCAAAACTACTAAATGTTTTCTTAAATTACAGGATTTTAACTCTTTAATTGCCAAACTCATAAACCATGTCACTGATTTGGTGAAAAAAACACACAAAAAGACGAATTTTCAATATAAAAAGTCATTGAGAAATGAAAAAATTACATATTTTCCCAGTGGATGGAAAACATGGGACTCTCTAATAGTTCATATTGAGACTAATGTACTCCTCCAACCATAAATTCCCAACCCCACCCCTCTTTTTTATTTATTTATTTATTTATTTTTGTATATTTATATTTATTTTATTCTCATTATTATTATTATTATTTCTTATTATTATTAATATATTTTTTATAACATATAAATATATAATATATTTCCTTTTCATAATAATTTTTATTATGTTCATTTGTCTCTGTTTCAAATTTATGTATGGTTCAAAAAAAATAATTAAAAAACGAAAATACCCTTGTCATTGAATACCTTTAATGTACTGTACCTTTTGTCAAAAACACACACACACAAAAAAAAGTAATTGAGAACTGTTTTTTTTTTTCTTTTTTTATCAGTCTTGGATATGTAAATGATTAGTAACAACATTGGCTTTAATGCGTTGTTAGATTTTCAGTTTTCTCCCCAATTTACTGTTGGTGGCTGTTTTTGTCCCATTGACTTCCATTGTAAGCACATTTGATGGTGCATAAATACACAGTCTTTGTTTTTGTTTACTTCATGTAGTTCTGAGAGCTGAGATGCATATTTCGATTTTCTCAGACACATCAAAGTAAATGCGAAAAAATCATGTCTCAACTACTTTTCATATTACAAATACGTCATTTTGTGTGTGTTTTTTTCACCAAATCAATGGCATCATTTATGAATTTGGCAATTAAAGAGTTAAAATCCTGTAATTTTTAAAAAACATTTATTAGTTTTGATCAGAACTGAGGTCGATTAACAAATTTATGAAAAAAAAATTTAATCTCATGCATTTTACAGCAGTGTAATTCAGTGGAAGTTTTCATCTCTAACATAACAAAAGGGTAGTAAATTTGAACAGTGTGTATCACCACAGCATTTTAACTAAATATGTGTCAAAATAAGATTTGTCACCAAAAGTCATTCCATTTGCTGAAACACTGAGAACGTCGAGGCCAAATTACGACTCAAAATCACCCCAGAATCATCCCCAACAGCACACAAGGGTTAAAATATTTCCAGAAATTAGTCTTTCTCCAGTAAAAAAACATAGGAAATACTGTTAAAATCTGTTAAACAGCACGCGGGAAATATTTAAAAAGAATTAAAATTGCTCAGGAGGGCTAATCATTTTGTCTTCAACCGTATGACTGAAACAAATCTATGTATTTATAATCTCAGGGGATTAATAACAACAACATGCGGTAATAAAACTAGATTTATTTTTGGTTTGGGCTCAGGTACAACATATGATAATGCTTTAACAAACCAATCAAACATTGGATATTGTCTGATCATGCAAATAAAGAGTTTTACAGATGTGCTCTGAGTTGTGTGTCGTTTTTTACACATAGATAACTTAAAGGCACCTATTATCACTTTTATAAAGGGTTTAAACACAGTTGTGTGGCAGCAGTGAGTGAGTATAACCAGCTTTGAATGTATTAATTCTATTGTTTCTAATCAGACTTGATATAAACAGTCTGCAGGAACACTTTGATGGACGTTCTCCCTTTGTATGTGTCATCAGAGGGGGAAAGCCCCGCCCACTAATGACCATGTCTCCCTAATTAGCATAGGATGTTAGTCTTGTTTTTGAATCTGCTGCTATGCTGATACACAGGCATTTGTAGCTCCGCCCTCTTCTGAAAAGAGCACAATCTCATTTGAATTTAAAGCGACAGTCACCAAAACAGCACAATTAGGATCAAAGCCTAAAAGGGTCAGTTTCAGAGAGTTGGAAAACATTATTTGTGAGGTATTTTGAGCTGAAACTTCCTGACTGCTCTCTGATTTGACAACACAAACAAAATGCTGAAAAACAAAAGAGCTATTTTATTTAAAGTCCCAACCCCCCCCCAACGCCCCCCCCCCCCTCCCCCCCTCCCCCCCCACCCCCCCTTTGGAAGAACAAACAGTTGTGTAAATACTGTCTTTACCTTGATGACAGTCTCTTTAAGGGACCATTCAGCAAAAAAGAAAAATTCTGCCATCATTTACTCACCCTTCACTTGTTCAAACTCTTCATGAGTTTATTTCTTCTCTTAAACAAAAAAGAAGATATTTTGAAAAATGTTGAAATACAGGTAACCATTGACTTCCTATTTCATTCTTAACATGGAAGTCAATAGCTAGCGGTTTTGAACATTCTTCAAAATATCTTCTTTTTGTATTCAACAGAAGAAAGAAACTCATGAAGGGTTTAAAACTACTTCAGGGTTATTAAATAGTGAGGAAGTAATTTTCATTTTTTGGGGGTGAACTGTCTCTAAAATGTTGGAAAACGGAAACCATTGACTTCTATTGTATTTTTTCCTACTATGGAAGTCAATGGCTACAGGTTTTAAACATTCTTCAAGCTATCTTATTTTGTGTTCAACAGAAGAAACTCATAGGGTTAGAAACCACTTGAGTGTGAGAGTAAATAGTCATTTACATTTTTGGGGTGAACTATCCCTAACATGTTGGAAAACAGTAACTATTGACTTCCATTTTTTTTTTATTCCTATTAAGGAAGTTGATGTTTACTGGTTTTGAACATTCTTCAAATTATCTTCTTTTGTGTTCAACAGAAGAAAGAAACTCATAAAGGGTTTGAAACCACTTGAGAGTGTAAGTAAATAGTGAAGTATTATTTTGGGGGGTGAACTATCAATACATTTGGGAAAACAGTAACTATTGACTTACATTCTGTTATTTTTTTCCTAATATGGAAGTCAATGGCTACCGGTTTCCAACATTCTTCAAACTAGCTTCTTTTGTGTTAAACAGACGAGATAAACTCATAAAGGTTTTAAAACTACTTCAGGTTGAGTAAATAGTGAAGTAGTGATTTACTTTTTTGGGGGGTGAACCATCCCTAAAATGTTGTAAACCTGTAGCCATTGACTTCCATTGTATTTTTTCCTACTATGGAAGTCTTCAAACTATCTTCTTTTCTGTTTAACAGAAGACACTCATAAAGGGTTCGAAACTACTTCAGGTTGAGTAAATAATGAAGTAGTAATTTACTTTTTTGGGGGTTGAACTATCCCTAAATACTTTGGAAACTTGTAACGATTGACCTCCACTGTATTGTTTTCTTACTATGGAAGTCAATGGCTACCCGTTTCGAACATTCTTCAAACTATCTTCTTTTCTGTTTAACAGAAGACACTCATAAAGGGTTCGTAACTACTTGAGAGTGTATAAATAGTGAATATTTGGCGGGTGAAGCATCCCTAAATTGTTGGAAAACGGTAACCATTCACTTCCATTGTATTTTTCCTCCTCCTATGGAAGTCAATGGCTACCAGTTTTAAACATTCTTCAAACTATCTTCTTTTGTGTTCAACAGAAGAGATAAACTCATAAAGCATTTGAAATTCCTTCAGGGTGAGTGAATAGTAAAGTAGTCATTTAGATTTATGGGGGGGTGAACTATTCCTAAAATGTTAGAAACCTGTAACCATTGACTTCCATTGTATTTTATATGTAAATAGTGGGTGAACTCTCCCTTTAAGACATAGTTTGCATTCAAAACTTATTTATTTACCAAAACAATTTGTAAAAAAACACACACAAAAAACCATCAGCCACAATTGGACTGACCGTATTTCAGTCTGTTAAATCAGAATGAGTCCATATGTGAGAGTTAAGATCAGTATTCATCATCATCATCCTCATTATTGTCTGTTTCTGAAGGCTCAATAATCTTCAAGCACTGATCAGCGAACTCCACAAACAGCGGCTCCTGCATGGCGTCCTTCATGGCCTTGGCTTTATTTTCAGCTGAATCCACTGACATCATCAGCTGGCGGAGGTGAGGATTCCTCAGCAGACCCTTCAATGCTTCTGAATCACCTGCACAGACAAAACCACCTGTGAAACTGCTTCCCCAAAAACAGAGGGAGTGAAGAGAGTGTGTGCGCTTTCATACCGAGCTGCTGAAGTCTCTGTAACGGCACTTTATCAGTCTGACTGTCTTCATCCAGCAGATCCTCAACAGTCCACGGCTCTTCGGCTGAAAACAAACACATTCATATTAACCATGTCAAAACTAGATTAAGTAAAATCTTTCCCTCTGTATCTCCTAAATGCGACAGATGTGGTGGGGCAGAGGGGACTTTGGCACATTTATTTTGGTTTCGTCCTGTTCTTTATGAGTTTTGGTCCAGCATTTCCCTGCTAAAAAATCCAGCTTAAACCAGCCTAAGCTGGTTGGCTGGTTTTAGCTGGTCGACCAGGCTGGTTTTAGAGGGGTTTTGGCCACTTCCAGGCTGGTTTCCAGCCATTTCCAGCCTGGTCTTAGCTGGTCAGGCTGGGAGATGACCAGCTTAAACCAGCTTGACCAGCCTAGCCAAGCTGGGAGTTCAGCCAAAACCAGCTATATCCAGCTTAAACCAGGCTGGTCAAGCTGGTTTTAGCTGGATTTGGCTGGTCATTTTCCAGCCTGACCAGCTAAGACCAGGCTAGAAGTTGCTGGAAACCAGCCTGGAAGTGGCCAAAACCCCTCTAAAACCAGCCTGGTCGACCAGCTAAAACCAGCCAACCAGCCTAGGCTGGTTTAAGCTGGATTTTTCAGCAGGGTTATTAGTTGTTTTCCAGTGCTTATGGAACCACTATCCAACCTGACTACAGTTTGGCTATTGTTTTTTTTTAAAGATTTATTTTTGGCTTTTTTGCCTTTATTATTAGATAGGACAGTATTGAGACAGGAAGCGAAGTGGGAGAGAGAGAGAGGGGGTAGCAGGCCCGGATTGGCTAATCGGGAGGGCCGGGAGAATTCCGTTTTTTGGCCACGAGGGCCGTTGTCCCTAGCTCCAGAATCTGTTGCTCTCAGCAGTCACACTTTTTACATTATTTTTTTTTACTTGACCACAGTCTTCTTATTAATTATTTTACCGAAGCTCTGCTCTTTTTATCTATTTTCTCGCAGTCTGGTTAATGATGATATAACTCAGACAAGCCACATTTTAATGTACAGTTGTTGTGATCCAGTGGACCCGGGTTTGATCCTCGTCAAAGTAGTTTTTTTTTTTTTTTCATTTTTATTGTTAAGACATATAATACTGTCAGGGTTGTTGAACATTTAAAGTTCTAAAGCAGCTGTTTTCTCAAAAAAATACGTGATAGTGTCATTATTAACTGAATTGGAAATGACCTTATTTTAATATAGTCAGTCGTGAACTGAGGTGGGCCGGTCTGAGGCTTGAAACTCCAGGGCTGAAAAGGAGTCCCACTCCAGCCCTGGGGGGTAGGGTAGGGAAATGTTGTTGAGACGGGATTCGAACTCGCGACGCCCTGACGTGCTATTGCACCATATGTCTCCACCGCGGTGACTGAAGCTCTGCACAAGACTTTTGGCCAGCGGAGAAATTAAAATGGTCGTGCCCAACTGAGTCTGGTTCCCTCAAGGTTTTTTGTCTTCACTCCCATCAGGTGAAGTTTTTTTTCCCTCTCCGCTGTCGCCACTGGCTCGCATAGTTCAGGATTGGTAGAGCTACGCATCGATGAATTTGCTCTTCAGTGTTTGAACTCTCAGTAAAGATTAAATCACACTGAACTGAGCTAAACTGAACTGAACTGAGCTTAAACACTAAAACCTGAACCACACTGTTCCAGTTACTATGACCATTTATGTGAAGCTGCTTTGACACAATCTACATTGTAAAAGCGCTATACAAATAAAGCTGAATTGAATTGAATTGAATATGTCGGCGTGCTAACCACTAGGCTATTGCGCCGACCAGTTTGGCTATTTTTGGATATTCAAATATAATGGACACCACCTTTCCATCAACCCAACAGCAAGCCCTGATGGTTGGCATGGGGGCTAATAATATTGACCTTAAAATGGGTTTTAAAAAAATTAAAAACTGTTTTTATTCTAGCCGAAATAAAACAAATAGGACTTTCTCCAGAAGAAAAAATATTATAGGAAATACTGTGAAAACTTCCTGAATCTGTTCAACATCATTCGAGAGATATTTGAAAAAGAATAATTATTGCATGATTGGCATGATTACAGCTAAAAAGATGATCTTACTTAATTGGAAGTCTCCAAAACCTCCCTGTTTTAAGAGACGGTTGAACAAGCTGCTGTATGTCATTCAAATGGAACGACTACGTCTTGAAACTTCACAGAAAAAAAGTTGAAAGCACATGGGGACCTATTTTAAGACTCTTGGGAATCTAGCATTTTACCTTTGTAAATGTCCATCTCTAACTCATATATTCATGACACTGACTTTGTAATAACGTGAATACTGTCATCTTTTTTTCTTTATATGTTTATGCTACACTGTTAAAAATGGCCGTGATTTCAACGTTAAAAAACTGTAAAAATGCTACAGTACAAATCCGTGACCTGGTTAACGGTATGTTTCCTTAATGTATACGGCGAATAACCGTAAATTGACTTTCCCAGAGTTCCCTGCATGGCACATAACTTTTTATGCATTTGGTTGACATAAATATGGATCTTTTTAGTTGTTTCCCCATCAGTTATGAACATTAGAGATTTATGTTACATCTAATGTTGATAAACAATGTTTATTTCATGACTTTCATTTTATGCGTGTCACCATACTGGTGTTTAGAAGCTGTGTGAATGACACTGAGCACCTTCAATATGCTGCTACTCTTTTCTGCTTGTGGGAAAAGTTGATTGTGATGAGCATTGGTTCATTATGTAAGGGCCTACTCACACTATGCCATCCGTACCGTGCCCAGGCCCGTTTCCCGGATCGTTTGAGAAGTGTGAGTGAGCTGAATCGGGCTCAAGCACGGTTCACTTGGCCGGCCCTGGCCCGGTTGGAAGAGGTGGGCCTGAGTGCGGTTCACTTGGGCTTTGGCGCGGTACACTTGTGTGCGAGTGCAAAACGTGCCAAAGCCCGAAACTGAAAGTGAGACTTGACTTTTAAGGGACTGTTTCATATGGATTTATTAATCATTCTTACTGTTCAGTGAACGCAAACTGCCGTAGTTTATTAAAGACCCAAACCTCACTGCACGACAGATGCGCACCTTCAGCAGACCTCCTCATTCCTGCAGCACGAGGGCTTTATGATTGTTTATGAGCGCCAAATATGGCGGATCTGTTCGGCGAAATATCTGACTGCATGTCACGGCATCCCTACGGACTGTTTGGCGAAATATTTGACGGCATATCAAACGACTGAAACGATATAACTAGAGAAATCTCCACTGTGCTGCTGAGTGAGAGAGCGCTTCTCACTGAACAGCGCAGCAGCGATGACGTAAGCATGCCCAGGCCCGTTTGTGGTGTGAGTGCGGGCCGTCAGGGGAGACGGGAGGGGGGACAAGAGTGCTTTGGCCCGGTTCGAGGCAACTGTACCTAGTGTGAGTACGGCCTAACTTCCTCATCACCACCTGCATGTGGGTGTGCTAACGTGTCTAACTGTGTAACAAAAGATGTGTAGATGTTGGTCATTCAAAATACAGACATATTACCTCGATAAATTATTAAAATACGGTAATTTACCGTAAAAATGAAAAATTACTTTTACGGTTTGTACCGTGTTTTTAACAGTAAAGTACTGGCAACCACAGCTAATTAATTTTTTTACAGAGTACATGTGTCATGTGTGTATATTTATGTATATTTGGTAACTGAGACGATCCCTCCCTTTTTTTTTTTTTTTTTGAGGGGGTGGGGGGGATATTGACCAATAATGTCAATTATTTTGTATTGTTATATATTTTTCTTCTTTGTATTGGTATTGTACTGTTTTTGTTAAATATCTTATACAAACTGTTAAATAAAACAAAATATTACAAAAAAAAACGTTAAAGTCTGTGTGAAATCTAAATTTGCAGTGTTTATTTTGCTAGCTCACGCTGTTATTCTTAAGGTGAACAATTAATCCATGTGTTTGTTTTGGTAATCTTCAATCAAAAATCTGAGCTTCTGCTTCTGTGTTTGGAGTGGTGGGCTGACAAAAGCCCCGTCCAGTGCTTAATTTGAGCCGGATCCTGTTTCGGAAAAAGTCAGATATTCGTGTTTTGGTGTATTTATTTAATTGATGCAGCACTTTTGCATGGTGAATACCTGCATGTGTGTGCGTGTTTGTGAGAGAGATTGTGAAGAGTGCTAGTGAAAAACAAAGCAAAGCTGTGTAGACATAAAAAAGGTAGTCACCAAGCTAAAGCAGAAGACACATTTAACTATTGGCCCTCAATAATATTTTCGACCAATCAGCTTTCTTGCGTCTAAAATCGCTCTCATTGGTTGGTGATTATTGTTTCGTGTGCAGATAGCAGCGAAAATAAATAATGGCATAGTGGCCTGCCTAAATAACATTTCATTCATTCATTTTCTTTTCAGCCTAGTCCCTTTATTAATCCGGGGTCGCCACAGCGGAATGAACTGCCAACTTATCCAGCACATGTTTTACGCAAGGGATGCCCTTCCAGCTGCAACCCATCACTGGGAAACATCCATTCACACTTATTTACACACATACACTACGAACAATTTAACTTATCCAATTCACCTACAGCACGTGTGTTTGGACTGTGGGGGAAACCGAAGCACCCGGAGGAAACCCACGCCAACACGGGGAGAACATGCAAACTCCACACAGAAATGCCAACTGGCCAATCTGGGGCTCGAACCAGCGACCTTCTTGCTGTGAGGAGATTGTGCTACCCACTGCACCACCGTGCTGCCCACCTAAATAATATTTGCGTTTTCAAAATACCAAAGAGGCAGTCAAGCATATTTTCCTTTTTTTTCTTTTTTAAACCCGAGTAAATCTGATAATGAGCCTGAACAAGAGATCTGGAGAAGATGAAACTTTGCCCCTGGATCAGGATAGCAAGAGACAAAAGCAAAGCGAGTCAGGTCAGCCAGAAAACATGACGGAAAGGGAACTGTGGGCTCTTAAAGATTAGACTTAGTGAGTCATTTATGTATTATTATTATTTTCCCCCTCACTTGGCACATACACTCACCGGCCACTTTATTAGGTACACCTTACTAGTACCGGGTTGGACCCCGTTTTGCTATCAAAACTGCCTTAATCCTTGGTGGCGTAGATTCAACAAGCTACTGGAAATATTCCTCAGAGATTTTGCTCCATGTTGACATGAGAGCATCACACTGTTGCTGCAGATTTGTCGGCTGCACATCTATGATGTGAATATCCTGTTCCACCACATCTCAAAGGTGCTCTATTGGATTGAGCTCTGGTGACAGTGGAGGCCATTTGAGTACAGTGAACTCATTGACATGTTCACCAGTCTGAGATGATTGAGCTTTATGACATGGTGCGTTATCCTGCTGGAAGTAGCCATCAGATGATGTGCTCATAAAGGGATGGACATGGTCAGCAGCAATACTCAGGTAGGCTGTGGTGTTGACACTAGGGTTGGGCCGATGTGTTTAGACTATCCTGCTGCAAAATTTGAATTTGATTGCAGTGTTTACATGTCTGTACTACACTTCAATAATGCCACTGAAATCGTCATACTCCACATGTCTTAATCCGATTTCTGGTTAGTTCGATTATGACTTAAATTAATCAAAAGTCGCTGTGTATGAGGTAATCAGGGTATTGTCTTAATCACATTAAAATCAGAATATATGTGTCCATGTAAACCAAGCGGCAACCTCCCGCTCTCTCTCAGGAAGCCAATACGGAAGTAACTAAAACTGCAATTCATCTGAAATCCCGCTAGTCCTGGCCGCTCCTGGCTCCAAAACAGAGCAAATTTCAATTGAGCCCACTGTTAGAATGGCCAACTTTACAGCAGAATAAAAGGTGTTTACAGCCTGGTACAAAAAAAGATTTTGGTTAATGCAGCTAATATTACCCTTCATGACAACTGTGAGGGGGGTGAATGTTTTTATAACTCATCCGTTTCCTTTATATTAAGTTATATTAAGTTTGCATAATTAAGGGCGTGGCCACTTGAGTGACAGCTAGGTCTCGTTGGTCGCCGTCACGTCACCTCAGCTGAATCCAGCAGATTAGCCACTGAACTCGGCATATTTATCGTATTTCTGTGTTGTTTTATGTGGCTTTACACAGTCAACTGCCTTTTGGACTTGTTTCCTACAATTATTAGATGGCATGGCATGCCACTTAATTGAGCTCACAAACCATTCACGTGTCCTCCGTTTCCCATGTGAGTAAAGTTATATACTTATATACATCTCTATACATGTATTTGCTTTATTTAAGATCATTTATGGTTTATATTTATATTTAGAGCTGTAATGCACTCCAGAATCTGTCAGATTGATTAGCTGTAGGCTGTAGATCAGTCATCTGAAGTGTTGTCATGCAGTGTTATGCTGGATTTCATCAATAGCCTTACATTAACTAACACAGACTATATCTGAAGTGTTTGGATGTAATTCGCGTTTTCCTCCTGTTGAAAAACGTCATAAGAACAATGTTTAGTGGCTCAATGTATTACAGCAGTGTTTTTAAAAGACTAAACACTTGATGTAGTGTACAGCCAAGCACAAGTGTTCAGAACACAAACGAGTCACAGGTGATAAAGTATTAAGCGTTCTCCCAAAGTAAAGTGTGTCTGAACCAGGTCCAAGCTAAATGCAGCATGCGTCTGTAGCTCCGCTCACTCTCCGCCTCTTTGCCCTTGTTTGGTATCCCGCCGTGGGTGTGATGACGCGCGAACAAAATGGTGACGGTTGGCCACGCCTACTTGTGGCTTCTTTTGCGCTCTTTAGAAACCTATGGGTGACGTCACGGATACTACGTCCATATATTTTACAGTCTATGATGTAAACGTACTCTGTTACGTTTCTAAATGCTCAATGGCAAATAATGTCCCAATTGATTGGAATCCACCCATAGTTTTCTCTCTTCAGAAACGTTAAAGAAGACAAAAATAAATGGAATAAAAATGACTGACCGTTGCTGACCGCTGCTGGTTTGCTGGAGGCTGGATCTGATTCTTTAACTGGATCACATGAATCTATAAGAGGTAGAAAAAAAATAAAGTGTTGGCCATTTCTGAGGGTGGTATTATTAACTAATAATAATAATAATAATAATGACTAATAATACCAATGTTTGTTAATTCTGGCTAATTTCAGTCATTCCTGCATTATTACACTTTGAACACATGACCTAAACACTGCTAATGCCATTATAATGTTTTATATCTGAAATATGCACAACTTATATATGATTATATCACTAATTGTTGGTTATTTATTAACAGTAATTAATACATTAATACATAATTAAAGTATTACACAGTAATAACAACACTCAGTAAAATACAGTAACTACTGCAAACATTCATTCCTTCATTTTCCTTCAGCTTAGCCCCTTTATTCATCAGGGGTTGCCACAGAGGAATGAACCGCCAACTATTCTGGCATATGTTTTACACAGCGGATGCCCTTCCAGCTGCAACCTAGTACTGGGAAACACCCATACACACTCATTCACACACACACTCATACACTTCGGCCAATTTAGTTCATCAATTGCCCTGTAGCGCATGTGTTTGAACATGCAAACTCCTCACAGAGATGCCAACTGACCCAGCCGGGACTGGAACCAGCAACCTTCTTCCTGTGAGGCGACAGTGCTAACCACTGAATAATAATGTAACTCAATGTAATAAAATTAACTTCAGCTACCACTGCTTATATTACTACTTGTTTTATCGTCATTCATAATAATGGTAATAATTAATTAATTAATTTTATCAATTATTAAATGACAACAAATTATTATTATCACTACTATTACTGCTGCTGCTATATTACGGTTAATGAATAAGAAATCCCAAGACAAATGAATTTAATATACAATAATAATGCCGCTTTTTGAACGTAATGAATAGCTTTAATTCCCAGTAAACCTATTTGTTTATAAAATGTAAATACAGTTTACAAAATATTATAAATATTGAATCTAGAGAGTGTTAAAACACAATTTAATCAAACTAAATTTTTATGTTTATTTATTTTTCACTTGATTTTTCTTGTTTATTACAATTTCATTTAACATTTTTCCTTAAGAAATTCATTTGGGTGTGTTAATTTTTGGTCTCTGTCACCTCTCAGCAAGAAGGTCGCTGGTTCGAGCCTTGGCTGAGTCAGTTGGCGTTTGTATGTGGAGTTTGCATGTTCTCCCTGTGTTGGCGTGGGTTTCCTCCGGGTGCTCCGCTTTCCCCCACAGTCCAAACACATGCGCTATAGGTGAATTGGGTAAGCTAAATTGTCTGTAGCGTATGAGTGTGAATGGGTGTTTCCCAGTGACGGGTTCCAGCTGGAATAGCATCCGCTGTGTAAAACATATGCTGGATAAGTTGGCGGTTCATTCCGCGGTGGCGACCCCTGGTTAATAAAAGGAAGGACTAAGCCGAAAAGAAAATGAATGAATGAATATAATTATGACTACTATTACTGCTGCTATATTACTGTTAATGAATTAGAAATAACAACACCAATATTTAAAATACAACAATAATGCCACTTTTTGAACGTAATGAATATATATATATATATATATATATATATATATATACACACACACACACACACACACACACACATATATATATATATACATATACACACACACACACACACACACACATATATATATACACACACACACACACACACACACACATATATACACACACACACACACACACACACACACACACATATACATATATATATATATATATATATATATATATATATATATATATATACACATATACATACAAACATACATGCATACATACATAATGAATAGCTTTAATTCCCAGTAAACCTATTTGCTTATAAAATGTAAATACAGTTTACAAAATATTATAAATATTGAATCTAGAGAGCATTAAAACACACTTACCATCTTCCTTGTGCCTTTTGAAGCAACTCACCGAGCAGCTAGAAGGAAAAGAAACACTTTTATTGGATCATTTGTTGGTTTCATAAGCAAAACATGAACTTTTAAGTAGTTTACGTTCATTTAATGTTTATTTTCAACACTTCCCCCCTTTTCATTAGCTTAAATATTATAATAAAAAGTATAAAAAATGGCACTGATTGCGAATATGTTGATTTTTCAGTTGCTGGTATCGACTTACTATCTGATTCTGCAGGCCGGACATCTGTATTTAGGTACAAGCTCGCTACAAACTCCGCACAGCTGCATGACTGATCGACTAAATCAACAAACAGTTTAAGAAAAGTCTGTATATTACGACTCTAACAGCAGGAACCACGTGCGTATGTTGTTGACAGCGTGAAGGACTTTTAAGTCACTTCAGGGGAGGTACAAACAGCGGAGTGAACGTATTAAAATATATATACATACAGCGATGTTGTTGTATAATAGAAATATGATTGGACGTGTGTATTATTATTTTTATTCACAATTTATTTTTTGGCACAATTATATTACTTCCAGTTTGAGTTTGACGCTTTTTATTTTACTTTTAACTCACTTCCGTTGTGGATAAGTTCCGGTTAAGAGTGCTGAGGTTACGGTGTCCTTCCCCACGTGTGTGTCAGTGACTGATCTCCTGCGTGAACGACAGCTCCTCACACCCGCTCTCAGTGCAGCAAACCTCGCCATGCTGAAGTCAGTGACTCGCGCGCTGCAGCTCTCCGCCCGGCTGTCCAGCAGGAGCTCCGCCAACAGAACCGCTCCAATCAGCCGCTCATTCTGGAGCCTCAGGAGCCCCGGAGCGGCCGCTGCTTCCAGGCCGAAGATCCTCACCGCCGCCCGGGCTCTGCCCACACTGAGCTGCGGCTGCGGGGGTCTCCACACCGACGGTAAACCAGGCTCACATTCACACAAACTGCCTACATTTAAATGTTTTTTTTTGGTGAAGGAAACTTGCGGGTACCTAGAAATGTTTTGTTAAATGTGTTTTCTGGGTAAGAGTAACTTTTGAGTTGCCGTGCTAATTACTTAGAGGGAGAAAGGAGAGCAAGGTTATTACATGTACTGTTAATTAATACTAAAATAGTATGTCGTTACTTTAAAATAAATAACATATATAAATAAATATATATATATATATATATATATATATATATATATATATATATATATATATATAAATAAATATATGTAATATATTATGTAATGTTTTATTTACATTTTCTAAAGGTCCCATGTATTATAATAAAATTATTATTAATTTATTTTTATTTTTGCCTGATACACTTAATATCAATAATCTGAAGCTGAGTCATTATAGTTAGTAGGTGGTCCAGAATAGAATATTCATTGTCATATTACTTTGTGTGTGTGTGTGTGTGTGTGTGTGTGTGTGTGTGTGTGTGTAAATACATAATGTACACACGCACACAGCTCAGCATATATGAGTACACTCACTCTCTCATTTCTCTCAAATCTCATTTAAGTTAATGTTTTCTATAGGATGCTTTACGATATTATTTACAATATATTTGTGAATATACATTAGATTAGTCAGTACTGCAGCCAAATCTGGAGCTAATTAACAAAATAACTTACAATAATTGGTCAAAAACTTGTAGCCAAAATTGATGTTATAGAAAAATATTAAATATGTTTGTAATTTTGTTTTGCAGTATTTTTGCGCTGTATATATAGGTGTGTGTGTGTGTGTGTGTGTCTGTGTGTGTGTGTGTGTGTGTGTGTGTATATATATATATATATATATATATATATATATATATATGTGTGTATATATGTATATATATTTGTGCAATACTTTGTTTGTCATCAGAGCTTCTTCTTCAGTTTAAGTGTTTTCCAAACATGTGACCTTGAGATTAAATGAGTAATGTCAGGCAGGGTCGTGAACAGCATACGGACTGACCATTGAGATCTCATCCATTCACTGCTGTATACACTGCTTTATTTACTACTGTATAACAAAAGTCAGTGACTGTAACTTGAAATTGTGCGATTGATTTGCATCTTTTAATGGAAAGAGGTAGTTGCTGATTTAGCACTATTAATGTTGTTTAATGTTTGTTTTAAGTGTGTGGTATATGTGTTGTAAATCTAGTATGCTGCAGAACAAATTGCCCCAAAAGGGGACAATAAAGTTTACAGTAACAGTTCAGATTTTTCCTTTTATATATATATATATATATAAATAATGTTATTATTATTATATATTTTTTAAGTAAAGCCTGAATTGTATTATCAAATTGGAAATAATGCTAATGCAACCATTTCTACATGAACAGTTTGTGAACATATGTGACATGGCTAATTTCTTTTAATGGGTCTTAAAGTCTCGATCATACTCTCATAATGCTTGTATAGATCATGATGTATCTGCCTTGGTGGATGATCTACAGTATATAATATCTGGTGTTTTATGAAATCTCTTTATTGTTCAGGTGATAAAGCCTTCGCAGAGTTTCTGACTGAAGAAATCAAAGAAGAAAAGAAGATCCAGAAGAGCAAAAGTCTTCCTAAAATGTCTGGCGGATGGGAGCTGGAACTCAACGGCACTGAAGCAAAACTCATCCGCTCGCTCTCAGGAGAAAAGTATGGATCTATTTCTTCCAGATAATCAGATGTTAATTCAAGCAATATTTAAGAATGGTGCAATTTCACATCTTGAAGTCTGCATGAAGACAAAATGTATTTTTATTTTACTAGCCCGCATTGTTAGTCTTAAGGTGAACAATTAATTTGTAAGTTTAATTCCTGCATAATAAAGCCCCGCCCCCTACTCAATATTCTGTTTCAGGTGGAAACGCATCATCATACTGAAACAAAACTCTGCCCCTACTCAATATTCAGTTTTAAATTAAAAAAAATTAATTAAACTGAAATAAGACCATGCCCCCTACTAAATATTCTGCTTTAGTTTAAAACACGTTATCATACAGAAATAAAACCCTGCCCCCTGCTTAATATTTTGTTTCAGTTTAAAATGCATCGTAGAGAAATAAAACCCCGCCCCTACTCAATATTCTATTTGTTTAAAACACATCATCGTGCAGAAATAAAACCCCGCCCCCTACTCAATATTCTGTTTCAGTTTAAAATGCATCGTACAGAAATAAAACCCTGCCACCTACTCAATATTCTGTTTGTTTAAAACACATCATCGTGCAGAAATAAAACCCCGCCCCCTGCTTAATATTCTGTTTCAATTTAAAATGCATCGTACAGAAATAAAACCCTGCCACCTACTCAATATTCTGTTTGTTTAAAACACATCATCGTGCAGAAATAAAACCCCGCCCCCTACTCAATATTCTGTTTCAGTTTAAAATGCATCGTACAGAAATAAAACCCTGCCACCTACTCAATATTCTATTTGTTTAAAACACATCATCGTGCAGAAAAAAAAACCCTCCCCCTACTCAATCTCATTCAGTTTAAAAAACATCATCGTGCAGAAATAAAACCCCGCCCCCTACTCAATATTCTGTTTCAGTTTAAAACGCATCATACAGAAGAAGAACTCCAGGCCCCTACTCAATATTCTAGTTCAGTCTGAAACACATTATCATACTAAAGTAAAACTCCGCCCCCTCCTCAATATAGGGTATATCCCAAAGCATGCTAATAGGACTTTTAATTTGTCAGTAACCTGGATTAATTGTTTCAGAACTGCATGCCAATGCAAAATCAGCGCGTTTAAGGTCTGTTATCTTTAAAAAAAAATGAGCGATCTCCACTGGCTGAGTGATATCCGATGTATAGTGGGCCTCAGATTGTACAAGAAGCACCGCATTAAATTACATTTCCCCCCGCCATGTCTTTAAAATATGAGCATTTATTTTATCCCAGTATATTCAAAGGAGCTTCTGCGGTATCCTGCCAATTCTTTTCGTCTTGATTCACGCTTGAGCTACTAAATGAATGCCAAAGTCTGTTTAACTGATTGTATTTGAATTATATTACATCAATGCTGTATAAGGAACCGTATAAAATGGAAAAAAACTCACTATAACAGGTCACCGGAGGTTTATCAGTATGGGAACAGCACTAGCTCCGCATGTACCCCATTCTGTTTCAGTCACACTGAAAGCTCATCATACTGAAATAAATGTCTTCGGCAGCCTCCGTTTCATACAGACTTTAAAAGCTGACACTATATAACACAGACGCCTAATAAATTTTGTACAAATTATCATGGTATTATAACAAGCAAATTAATGAAGCTTCATCTGCAGCACTTGTATGATCATTCCTACGCTTCCCTGTAATGTGTTGTGTTTGTGTTGGACAGGGTCACCATCACTTTTAATGTGAACAACAGCATCCCACCACAGCTGGAGGAAGAGCCCGAGCAGACACAGAAGAGTCAGGAGGAGGAGGTATCACTCATACACACGGTTTACACATTACATTACTGTAGAGAAGAGATTTATGAAGCGTAATGTTGCGGTGTACACTCACCGGCCACTTTATTAGGTACACCTTACAAGTACCGGGTTGGCCCCCCTTTTTGTCTTCAGAACTACTTTAATCCTTCGTGGCATAGATTCAACAAGCTACTGGAATTATTCCTCAGAGGATTTGCTCCATATTGACATGAGAGCATCACACAGTTGCTGCAGATTTGTCAGCTGCACATCCATGATGTGAATCTCCTGTTCCACCACATCCCAAATGTGCTCTATTGGATTTATATCTGGTGACTGTGGAGGCCATTTGAGTACAGTGAACTCATTGTCATGTTCAATAAACCAGTCTGAGATGATTGTTGTCCAGTTTTGATGAGCATGTGTGAATACAGTTTCCTGTTCTTAGCTGACATTAGTGGCTCCCGGTGTGGTCTAACGAGTGCTTATTTGAGTTACTGTTGCCTTTCTATCAGCTGAACCAGTCTGGTCATTCTCCTCTGACTTCTGGCATCAACAAGGCATTTGCGCCCACAGAACTGCCGCTCACTGGATATTTCCTCTTTGTCAGACCATTCTCTGTAAACCCTAGAGATGGTTGTGCGTGAAAATCCCAGTAGATCAGCAGTTTCTGAAATACTCAGACCAGCCCGTCTTGCACCAATGCCACGTTCAAAGTCACTTAAATCCCCTTTCTTCCCCATTCTGATGCTCTGTTTGAACTGCAGCAGATCGTCTTGACCATGTCTACATGCCGAAATGCATTGAGTTGCTGCCATGTGATTGGCTGATTAGAAATTTGCGTTAACGAGCAGTTGGACAGGTGTACCTAATAAAGTGGCCAGTGATTGTATATAGTTTTTGTCTTGATGTTTTTGTTTTTCTGTTTTTTTGTTCAGCCTGACATTGTCTCGACACCCAACTTTGTGGTTGAAGTGACCAA